TATTATATATTAGAATGTATAGTGAGAAACTGTAATATTATATATTAGAATGTATAGTGAGAAACTGTAATATTATATATTAGAATGTATGGAGAGAAACTGTAATATTATATATTAGAATGTATAGTGAGAAACTGTAATATTATATATTAGAATGTATAGTGAGAAACTGTAATATTATATATTAGAATGTATAGTGAGAAACTGTAATATTATATATTAGAATGTATGGTGAGAAACTGTAATATTATATATTAGAATGTATAGTGAGAAACTGTAATATTATATATTAGAATGTATAGTGAGAAACTGTAATATTATATATTAGAATGTATAGTGAGAAACTGTAATATTATATATTAGAATGTATAGTGAGAAACTGTAATATTATATATTAGAATGTATTGTGAGAAACTGTAATATTATATATTAGAATGTATAGTGAGAAACTGTAATATTATATATTAGAATGTATAGAGAGAAACTGTAATATTATATATTAGAATGTATAGAGAGAAACTGTAATATTATATATTAGAATGTATAGTGAGAAACTGTAATATTATATATTAGAATGTATAGTGAGAAACTGTAATATTATATATTAGAATGTATGGTGAGAAACTGTAATATTATATATTAGAATGTATAGTGAGAAACTGTAATATTATATATTAGAATGTATAGAGAGAAACTGTAATATTATATATTAGAATGTATAGTGAGAAACTGTAATATTATATATTAGAATGTATAGAGAGAAACTGTAATATTATATATTAGAATGTATGGAGAGAAACTGTAATATTATATATTAGAATGTATAGTGAGAAACTGTAATATTATATATTAGAATGTATAGTGAGAAACTGTAATATTATATATTAGAATGTATAGTGAGAAACTGTAATATTATATATTAGAATGTATAGTGAGAAACTGTAATATTATATATTAGAATGTATAGTGAGAAACTGTAATATTATATATTAGAATGTATGGTGAGAAACTGTAATATTATATATTAGAATGTATAGTGAGAAACTGTAATATTATATATTAGAATGTATAGTGAGAAACTGTAATATTATATATTAGAATGTATTGTGAGAAACTGTAATATA